GAAGTGGGGGTGTTTCCTTTTTCTGTAATCACATGAGCACACGGCAGATCCACGAAAACTGAACATTTCAGTAATCAAGAGGGAAACTTTTTTAAAAATTAATATTTCTGTTTTTAAGAAGAAGAAAGAATCGGGAACTTAGTACTGACTTTATTAACGAATCAGTTTAAGTCAATTATAACCCCTATGCAAATTATTAATGAAACATCCAATATTGACTTCTGGATGACAACTAATTATTTTAGAGACTTTTTTTCTCAAACTTGAAAAAGTCTACTCCCTGCTTAATCCAAACATTATTCTTTTTAACTGAAATGCACTTATTTTTCTTGGCAGTTTGAACTGATACATAGTGGCCAACTGACTTCAGTTTTATTAGATCTTTGGGAACTCCTTCTTGACCAGGGGAAACCTGATTCTTTCACCTGTACTAAGAGTTCAAGAAAGGGCATAAAAAGAAATCATCTAATCTGAACTCTGAAGCTTCATCATAATAAAGACTAATTTATTTTTCCCAGCATTAAATGTAGGACAAATAAATGCTGGGCTTGCTTTTTTGGTAAAAATTGACTTCTTTTTCTTTTGTCTGTTCTCCAGATTAAGACTGCATCTGTCCAATGGACTTTGCAACTTGTGTCTCTCATGACCCATGTAGTTTACTAGATTTAACTTGGAAGTTGCTCTGTCAGACCAGCTTAAACTGCTCACCAGGACTCCAGCTACTTCAACTGCTGTTTCAACAAAATAACTCTTACAAGTGTTCCCTAGCTTTTTCCAGTCAAAATAAGCCAGAAATGCTGAAGCTATTTCAATGCAGTGTCTCTGCCAGCTGGCTTATTCAGACTGAAGTACAACAGAGTCTCATCACACTTGATCCTTGATTGGCAGATTAGCAGGCTTGGTGATTTTGGGTGATACTGTGCAGCTGACATGGGCTAGTAACAATAATGTCTTCAGTCAACACAGCTGGAGCCGTAAGCATGCATGTATCCAATATATTGGTGGATGAGCTAAAATAAGGAAAGTTTGCAACTATATGTGTCCTTCTTTTATTCATCCTGTGAAATCTGAGGGAAGACCATAATTTGGGTGATATATTTGAATTGTCCAGACTCTTTGGTCGGATAAATGTTTTCTTAATACACGAATTTCTTGGTAAACAAAGTATCAGCATCTCACCCTGTGAGTTCACAACAGAAGAATCTTGCAGTGAAGGAGGCTGCCTAAGGTTGCCTCATAACTCATAAAGCTGTGGAGTTTTCATGCACTTGGTCTCTTATTGGCAAGCTAGTGTATGTACCTGCTGATGGTGAAAACACTATCTTTGCTGTGTCTGTGGAGATATTCAGTTTCTCTTCATAGGCTAAAAAGAAGTACCTTTCCTTAGACACTGGCAGAAAGCTTGAAAGAGAAAAGGAGACAGAAATCCTGTTAAGATATTTCACCCACTTCACAGAAAAGAATAAAGTGCACTCGGGAGGGCTTGATTTAAAAAGCTGGAGACCAGCCATACTTAGCATTTCATGCTTAGTTTTGCTTCATGCTCTTAATGCCTAATCTGTTCACTTTAACTTTTTTATTAGAGAAAACAATAGTCAGCAGTCTTCAGTGTACAGATTTGGCAGTCAGATCCCAAATCCAGTCTCATTCTGGGACACATCAGTTGCAGCTCTGTTGCAGTGAATGGATTTCTTTCAGTTTTACACTAGAGGAGCTGAAAAAAAAAAAAAAATATATATATATATATAGATCAGACGCTGGAACTAAAGTAGAAGAAACAATAATAATAATATTAATAACAATAATAGAAAAAGAAAAAACAACTTATGCATTAACTTGAAATATTCAAGGGTCTAACAAAGTCAAAATACAAATTGAATGGTTTAAAATAATCTCCTATGTCAGATTTATGTATCATAGAAAGAAGTTACATACACAAGCTCAGTTCTGTTTGTCCAGTTCAGCCTGCCCTATGTTAGGGCATTGTCTTTGACTTCGATGCCTTTTTGTTCTTCTAATTTGTGATTCTTTTATCGTCTTAATTTGTCTCAAGAGTTGGCTTCCTGACCCTGAAAGACTCTATACTGAGGAAAGGCTGGCTGCAGCCCTGCTGGTGAACCTCCATGTCCACGCACGACCGGCTGAGGACACTCACGTGTGTTCCTGGCACCCTCTGGTGGATGGTCTTGCTAATACACAAAAAAGCGAGACATCCCAATTTGGACAATTCAGAGCGTTTCACACAACTCTGCGGCGTTTCAGAAAGCTGACAAATGGCATTTAACAACCAGATTACATTCAAAATGTATGTGATAGCTAGGTTTGATCATTTACTTTTATATATATATTGCAACACAAACCTAGATTGCAGTATCGAAATATGTGAAATATGTGTATTTTTTTCTCTCTTCACCCCTACCAGGTATAGGTGAAGAGAGACATGGCATATATGTTCTTTTACTACCTTAGGCTGGTTATGAAGTGTAGGAAGACAATATGAATTTGTCAGGCAAAACATTCTGGTTGTCCAGTTAAATACAAGCTCCAGAATTTTCTTCCAGATATTGGTGAGTTTACAGAGCAGGTACAAAAATTATTCCTGGTTGAAAAATACAGAGGGGATTTCATTGAGCAGCAGCTTTTTACCTCTTAAGTCACCCCAAAAGCCTTGTTTGATACTGCAAGCTCTTCAGTGTCAGAGGACTCCTATTCTGGGCACTTCACAGCAGCAAAAGAAAGTAGTATGTGTTTCTAAGGGGCTCACAGTACTCCATGTCTTTCTGTCTGCTGCTAGAGCTGGTTCATTATGTTCAATACACAGGTGAAATAACCTTCAAATGTTCCGCAGCTTGAAGTTTCTGTCTCGGTAACAGTGTATACCAGAAAGTACTTAAAACAAGATAATGAAAGTTGCCTCTAAATATGGATTTTACAATATATAACATCACCAGCAGAGGCTGTATGCCTTCCTCCTCAAATCCCAAATGTAAACCAGATGAAAAAAACCAACTGTCTGATGGTTAAATACTATGCAAAATTCCTGTGCAAATTCCAACAATATAACTCTCTTTAGATTTGGCTGAAAACTCTTTCAAACTAAATGAAACCACATTCCCAAACTCAGGCAAAACCTCCCCTGAGTTAAAAATATTCAGTTAATTTCTTTCTTGTTTTTCTTCATTTCTTTGTCCTTTTATTTCAGCCCAGCTTTTAAAAAGAAGCAGCTAAATACACCTGGTAGCAGCCATTTCTGATTCAGGAGGACCTGGAAACATTCAAGAATAGACATTGGTGTGATGACACCAGTGTGTGGTTGTTAGATTATGAATTTAGAAGTTTGAATTTGTTTCTAGGAAGCACTCGAACTTTTGGCTCCTTCTCCATATATGCCTTTGGAACAATAGGTAGACCATGCTGACACATAACGCAATCCTGTTTTCATGTTATCTCTACTGAGCCATCTGCTTCAGCTGGTCACATGGCAAACAAGACATTTATGTTACCGTTGATAATTTGTGTGCCATGCAGCTCTCACAAGCTTATTACTTGCAAGGTGACTGAAAATAAGCTGAAATCCATTGACATAGATAGCTTGATTGGAATGCTACTACTCCTTATGTACATGAATCTTTATCACAGGAAATGTCTCTTAATTCTGTTGTGACTACATAATGAGTCTTATTTCTAAAACCAGGGAGGCTTCATCTTCATGTTCTGTAGTTAGTACTTGAGAAGACTTCAACAGTCAATTTTCTCTGATACATATGGATTTTTAGGTATTACCAATTTCCACTCAGACTTACGATGATGAGTCCTCTTTCTGTGAAAAATAGTCTGTGAAAAAATATCACTGTTTGAATACTGTAGTGTTAAAAGCTAGAGATGTGTTCTGACAAAAGGGAGATTCCTGAATTGTTGGTTGGTGCCTACACTTCCTGCCACCTGGAAGGACAGACGATAACCATCAAGAGATGCATTTGCCTATCTCCAAGCTGATCCTGGGAGACTGGTAGAAAATAAACATACTCCTGGGTTTCCTGAACTTTCACTTGATAGTTATGATTTCAAAAAGGTTCAGAAAAGTAATACTGCTTGTAGATTTGGGAATTCTGATAACACAGCCTATTGTAGTTAATTAAACACTGTCAGGGAATCACTTGAACAATTTAACTATCTGTATTTGAACTACCAGAATAGTCTCTGTTTAGGTGCTGGGTTAAGGTAACAAGCAATTCCCAGCCAGCTGGTGGTGTATATGGGCCATGGGTAATTCCAGCAGCCATTTTCATGTATTCAGACCTGTTTAGAGACTAAGAGCATTTTGCAGTATGGAGACAAACAGACTCTGCCAGTTGGGCACATGACTACAGAAAGGGCTCTGGCTGTCTTCTTTATCAATATTGATACTGAAAAAATGTATCTTGTGTTTGCTAGAGCTTCCTGAACTCACATTTCAGACAGCATCAATTTGAAACAGAAAATATATTCACTCTCAAAAAGACAGAGTTAAAATTTTGGTTGGCAAATTAGAAACAGCTATGAAAATCAATGTAATAATGTATGTGCACTGTTAGGTTTAAGTTCAGAATTAAAAGGAAGTTTTCTCTTTTTAGATGATTTTGCGGTTTACCCCTTTCTATAATCTTAGTGCATATGCATTGCTTGTCATGTTCTCTTCAGATTAAATTACCCTCCTTGCCTTTTACAACATTCCAAAAGCTGTTCCAGAACTTTAAAAATCATCTCATATGAGAAATATTGGTGTCACGGTATCTTATAACAAACTCAACGTCCCTGTTTTGCATTTTAGTCTTCCTTGACAGGAAAGCTAAATGACATATTAAATTAACACAGATGACAGACTTAGTAGTTACTGCTGTTAAAGCTGTGCTGGAGACTGATTGAAGCAGCATAGCTTATTTCCTAAATGGCTGTTGTAAACTGGTCTTGCAATCTCTGTGTCCCATCACTGTAACCTCCTTTTTCACCTCTTTGTCTAAGAACAGGCTTGAAAATCCCAGTTGATCCAGTCCCACCTGCAGATTGCCTGGTTTCCCCCCCAGGAGCTGGCAGTTAGCTGACAGGACTCAGCATGTTGGAAAGGTCTTGACTTTCTTTGTACCAATGAAGCAGGCTAAATAGATGTCACCTTACATCTCTCTATTTTGTGTGTGATGAGAATATGAATGTTATAGTCAGATTAATTGCTCCACTAGCCTGAGTTGCTACAAGCTTCTTTTCTTCACTACTACTTAGATTTTTATAATCTCTCATGTTTTCTTTTTGAGATACAGATGAGTCAGAGGAGGATAAAATGGCAATGTACTGGATTTTTCTGGTAGTAAGATTAAAATAAAATAAAATAAATAAAATAAAATAGGCAGAAACAGGCTAGGTGTCCTGAAAATACCTTATCCAGACCTGTTGAGGTCCATGGTCTATATGACTATAAAGTTAGAATGACATATTCGCAGCTGTTTACGTGATAGGGTACTCCAGGATGGCATACCAAGATCTGCTTGTGGGGAGTACTTTCGATGCCTTAATTTTTGTGATACAAAACTAGTCTTGGTTATGTTTACACATCATTTTCCATATTCAGAGTTAGGTTCTACATATCAGAGCAGTCACTGTCCAGTGTACTTTAGTCAACAGAGGACAATAAAGAGTGTCACTCCTTCCCTTGCAGAGAGCATCCACATCAGATGCAGATCTGATGAAAATGTGGTTTCTTTTTCCCTTGGCAACTTTCAGCCTGAATTGTATGGCTGGTGTCTATATTAGAGTTCCTATTAAACTTTCATGTTTGCTTTTGCTGCTTTTGAATTCTGTGCTAAGTTCTCTGTTAACGGAAGACATAAAATACCTGATGAGAGGAAACTTTGATTGCATCCTCTGAGGGCCAGGTGTTAGTTAGGCCATGTGTAATGACTATTAGAACATCCCATTTTAAGTCCTACAGGATCTGCAGTGTATATGTTAGTGCTTGTACATCTGAGTGCACATGTGAGAAGGGAACTTTGCCTGTAACCCCAGTGCAATGTAACATCTCACTGAATGCACCTGCAGGATACTGAGGAGCCTGTTTCCTTCCTCTCTATTCAGAGTGTGTCCTACACAATAGGAAATCATGGGGAAATATCTGCTGCTTTATCCAGAATGTAGTCTCTGGTAATCTATCTGGCAAAAGCATGGTGCACAGGATTTCATCCAGTGCAAGTGAGTCCTGCTAAATCTCCTACTCACTCCTCTTATACAGTTAGGCTTACGTGGGCTCTGGAGTAAAATCACTGCCAGAACGATGGGTGGTCCCATCTATTTTTCACATGAAAAGGAGTCATAGGTTATATGGGCATCAGAGGGTCTCTTCTGCATTAAAAGACCTATCATAGTTAAATCTTGGGTGCAGAACTGATGCCCTCAGGTTTTGGAAGTTTAGCATCTTAAAATAAGTTGTTGCTACAGTATATCCATGATTTGATTTCAGTAAGTACTCTCCAGTAAATATTAGTTTAAATTCAGACCTTCAACCCACAGGTTTTGTGGGTTTGAGAAGATATTATTAAAGGGACCAAAACTAACATGGATAAAAGCCATCTTAGTTGGTTTGTATCAGCAAAAATACTACTGTATGCTGCCAACAATCCCTCAAACTATTCCAGCCACTGATGTAAAAGCCTCTTATGTTAAGGAAACAAGGCTGCAAAGTGGCTCTGAGAGCAGGATTAGCAAGAACTGCTCCAAATTGGATCAGTGACCCCGTCTGAGGTTTGCCTTGACTACCCTTCCCAAGTACAATTCCCACTCAAAAGACTGATGTTTTCTGGATCAAACTTCTAAGTTGTGTAGCTCTTACAAGCCTTTGAGGTACCTCAGCAATTCTAGTGGCTTCTGAAGCATTTAATTTGCATAAGCATCAGCCAGCCTTTCCACATCTTAATTGAAAATACAGCAAAATCTAGAAAGAAAAGTTGCTCTTTATCTAAAAGTAAAAGGAAGAGCATCACTGCTACTGGATGTGGGCTAAGAAAGTGTTGTCATGGGATGTCCCATATTTTACAGAGGAAATTCTGCTAAAGAAAATGCAATATGTCTTGTAAACTGAAAAAAAATAGAAGTTACAAGAAGGTAATAAACCTTATGGAATATTGAGAGAAGAGAGTTTTCTTAATAAAGGGGTTTAGGAACTTGGCAACTGAACCAAAATTGTAAGAGAGGAAATTTTTTTTTAAACATAAATATTTTAATATAATCAAACTGATTTTATTTTTTATTCCAGTTTTACCTTTGCTGGAAACATCAGGTGATACCTGAAATAAACGACATTAAATTTTCATTTTGTTAATTATATAGCGAAAAAAAATATGGTGACAAGCTGAGAACAATTCCGAGCAGCTTGTTTTCTTTCCTGATGGAATTTCTGAATACACTGAAGCACAGTCTGCTTCATTCTTGTCACATTTATTAACCAGGTTTTCGCCATATTCACCTCAAGCAACCGGTAGGTGGCAGAATTGGTTTATTTATTGCTAGGCTGAGCACAGGCGCTGCTGCTAGTTTAGCATTCTAACCCTACGCAAAACCAGTGTTTGGGTTATGGTCCACTGTGTGGGTCTTGCTGACTGTGTGTTTCTACTTGTATTGCAGTTATTATCTTTTCTATTGTTTTATTGAAAGCTAAAATACTGACATGCATGCTAGGGTTTGGGTTTGGGTGTTTGCTGTCTTGTTTCTTTTCTTTCAACCTCAAGTACATCAGTATAAGAAGAACCTAAAAATGGGGGAGGGAGGGAGGAAATACTGCTGACCCTTTTCAGCCTTAATGAAAATCTGTAAGAGAATCACATTTTACCTGTCTTCCAGCTTGATCTGTAGCTACAATTCTTGTTGACATACATTGCATAGGTTTGTATCGTGTTCAGAAACCCGTTTCTGGAAGCTGCCCTGGTAACAAGGATCCTACTTCAGAAAGAAAAAATCATTGATTTTTTTGAGGGCCTGTTTTTGTTCCTTCTGCAATGGGGTAAAACCAAAAAATGTAGAATGATGTCAAGATCAATTAAAAAATGAGGACGCAAGAAAGTAATCCTGGCCTATGGCTATCAGCACTGGGGGTGAAGTATAGCCTGTGAGGTAGAAAGTCCAAACAAAAGTTCCTGTTCTGTCTGACTTACATTTGGCCTTCAGTTATGTTGGGCTGCGTTGATCCCATTTTGTCTTGTTCCTCCATGGGAGATTCCAGCCTGTCTATAAGAAGCAACACCAGTAAAAAAACATTGAAATTGGTGTAGGCCTGATATTAGCACTTTGGGATTTGAAACTCTCAAGTGGTGCTCACTCTACCACTGACTGAGGCTGACCTATGAAAAGATTTAACGGTGGGGAACTAAGGAGAGAAAAGTCCCCTCTGCCTCCTCTCTCTCTACTTTGTTCATGTCTGAGTTTACCATCTAAACACTAGTGTTTACCACCTAAACATTGTTGCATTTTCCTGTTCGAAGGGGCAATAGCCATGTTTTTACCTTGTGATCTCAGCAATTCTGCCTTAAAAGTACAGTGTGCCATATCATTTAAACTTAGCAGATTGAAGGAGCAGGTTTATTTATTTATTTGAGAGGGAAAAGCTAACACTAAAATATAGAATTATTTCATGGGAGCTTCTTTATAGGAGCTCCCATTTTGGCGCTGTTTAAATTTTGTTTTTCTTTCTTTATATTTAACCATAACCTTCTAGGCTTGGTGAGGTGCCAAGTACATAGAGAATAAAGCCACGAGCTGGGCTGCAAATCAATGCTATTCCCTTAGAGCTGGTTTGCTAAGCATTAAGTTGATGTTTATTTAAACTTAATGAGCTAAAATTACAATATGCAGTACAGTAGAGTCATGAAAATACAGAAGGCCAGATTATAATCTCAGTAAATAAGAAGAAACTGCTGCTATTCCAGTATTAAATGAGAATGGAATCTGGCCCTAATTTGTACTATGGATTGAGGGCTAGATCCTTCAGAGACCTATTGTGTTGTAATGCTGAATATCTGAGCACTTAACCAGGACTATAGCAATATAATATAAATTAAATCAGAAGCTATCTTCCTACAGAATTTGAATAGACTCTGATGATTCCCAGTGGGCTCAAAACTTAATGACACCATGCACACTAGGTGCATGCCTATCAGACGCTTTGAGTAGGATATTTAAAATTCCAGCATGCAGGAGCATCCTGAAAGCTGCATGGGAATGTCTCTGCTGTCTTGGAAATCTGAGCCATTTCTTACACCTTTTCCTGTAAAGTATGATATGATGTAGTCAGGTTGCTCTTTTATTTTCTATGATAGCTCAGTGTTTACAGTGGCTGTTGCTTAAAGCAAAATACAAAAAATTATATGAGCAGCAGGAAGAAGGCCACAGGAATTTCCCATCATATTCTTTCGCTTTCTCCTCTGTTGTCCTTTTTGATTGCACTAATCAGTATTTCTTTTCTGTGCAAGAGCTGTAAATATCAGCTCTACCAGCCATCACAATTCCCACTTAACCTGAAAAAGGACTTGTCCTGGGAGCTGGGAAATTAGAATTCCAATTCTTTTACATCTGCAGATGTACCCATGCAACACTGTGAACATACATGACATTCTTATATAAAACAAGATTATGCTATTAAAAAGAAATTAGCAAAGACAAGAACATCTGCTGGGGCTGAATGCTTTGCTTGATAAGTTCCTGGGTGGGTACCAAGCAAAGGCCAGCAGGTGACCTGGGGTCTGGAATGCATTCACCACTTCTGCATTAATAAATGAAACAAGCTGTGAAATGCTCCTAGTCAACTAGGTGTACAGTTAAGCTGTTAAGACAATTTCTACCACAGGTGTGGATTGGGCAGACTAGTGGTGCCCAGAAATACCCCTACCCATAGCTCAGGAATGCAAGAATCTGAAGGACCATTCCCAACATGCAGTTTTCCTACCTCCACAGGGCTTTGGATCCTAGAAAGTTTATGAGCTTCAACATGTGTTGGTTTGCCACAGCATCTGGAAATTTTCCTGAGTGTGTTGAATTCCCTAGCCTAGAGCAAAACATATTTCCTAGCTCTCAGTCAGGCCAGACCATGAGGTGGGTCAGGGGCCTCTTGGAGCTGTTAGGTCTGCAGTTGTCCTGGGGGTGCACAGCTGTAGGCTGCCAGGGAGCGACATTTCATGAGGCTGTGTCTGTGGTGCCCCCACATCACCACAATTAGCAGTTTAGTAGGAATTTTAAGTGCTGTGATTTTTTGTTGAATGGCCTAGTGTTGACTTGCCTCCAGGTTCATGGTTTTAGGTCTCTTATTGGGCTGGCACACAGCATTTAGAACTCACATTTGGCAGTGGGACTCAGGCCATGGCTGCAAAGTCAAAGCCCTGGTTTTCCAACAAAATGTCTCCATCTTTTCTTCTCCTTCTATTTCCCTTGAGAGGAAAAGAAGGAAGAAAAAACAGGGGCTCAGAAAGCACAGCTACCCAGCCACAGGGGGTAAAGCTCAGAAGCCCTTGCTTTCCCTTGGAGGAAGCTCCGTTCATTGTCAGCAGATGGGAATGGGAAGCTGGGGGTGGGGGCATATTGCCGAGGGTCTGCTTTGATGTTGGCATGTTTGTTTGCTTTCTGCTTCCTGGACCCCTGCCCAAGGGGCTGGGACTGTCAGTTGTGGAAGAAACACAACAGGATGGCCATCAGCAGCCCGCAGAGAAGACAGCAGCAGATGTCGACAATAGGAGGGGGGTACATCAGCTTAAACCAAATCAGGGAAAAACTGAAAGGATGAGATTGTGGGGTGAAATAGGAAGATAGGGAGCTGTGGTGAGGCAGTGGGTGCCTGTGGTGGGACAACAATGGCAATTCAAATGAGGAAGGCATAGGTGGAGACATTTGGGAAGCTGTGCAGCAGAGCCTGACATGAATCTGTATGAAAGTTACTAATTTTCAACCCTGACAAAGGTCATTTTCACCTGCTTAATATATGAAGTATCACATTCTGACAGGATAAGGCCCTACAAGCCTTCAGTCAGCACAAGGCCAATGTGTGCTAAGTAGCATGTCCTTGAGGCCACACATGTCTATGTGATGGGCTTCATGTGGGTGCCAGCTCACTTGAGCCATACTTCAGGCAAACTAGAAGCCATGACAACTTGTTAGGATCTCTGCAATGTGGCATGGGTCAGATCTGCAGCTCTTGAAATATTTTCAGAACTTTGCAGGATTTTTTAACCTGTTTACATTAATGGTTTCTCATGGCTGAGAAACAGGAATGACCAAGATAATCTCTCATTAACAGGTAAGAAAGTAGCTCCCAAATCTGTGTATATTCAGGTTATTTACAGATCCACTGTGATACCACACAGAGTAAAAGAGAAGGTAAACTAACTTCAGAATTACTCAGTCAGAATTGCCATCAATGGTTAATCTTGAAAATGGTTGACTAGGTCAAACAAGACAGGATGGATAGCCACAGAACATCAGTCTGTGTCTCATAGTAGCAATGGAACACCCTGCTTTTAACTAGTCGTTTATGATTTGCCAATAGACAACTGAATGCAGTGACCCTGCTTATGTCCTGGCAGTGGCTTACTAGAAAAACAGGATCCATATTATGGGTCAACTCCAGAGCGAGTTACAAATAGTTAGCATTTTAACTGTGGTTTTCTCTTAACAGAGATTATTTTTCTCAAAAATGGTACATCTTGTCCCCTCAGTCATTTGTGTCTTTGTTACTCAGCTGACATAGACAGCACTGTCAGATACAGGCAGATAATACGCAAATAAGAAGACATGCAGTGCAGTGTAAAAGCACTGATGTGCAAAAAATTATACTGAAGTGTTTCCTGCCAGGAACCCTCTCCTGAGAGAATTCAGGGAGATATACATGCAAACAAACAACACTGATCCAGCCACTGTGTAATTGCCCTTTCTACTATCAGTGATCCTGTCTCAACTGCAGGCAGAAGTGATGAACACTGTGTCTTTGGAGAGACTTCTAAGGCTTAAAGGAGCAAGTCTTAGTTTTGATTCCACCAGGAAAAGGGAGGATGTAATTTTTATGTCAGAAATTCAAGGAAAGGCATATTGCATGTCTGATACCTGAGCTACACAAAGTACATGACCGCGTTCCTCTAGACACTTCCTCTAAGCAAGGAGACTTAAATTACCTAATTGAAGTGCAAGCCACTTCTGTTACATAAAAATCGCTTTGCGGGAAAATGATGAAAAGAAAGAACACCAGAGGGCACTATTTCGTTCTGTTGAAAAGATGGTTTCAAAGTCATGTCAATACAGGGGTCATTTGGGATACTCATTCTCTTTCCTTTTTTTGGTGTCTCCAGGCTTCTTGGAGAAAGCATGTCTACTTTAAGAGAGAAATTACATTAAATGGCTATTTTGCCCTG